TTTTGATTTGTTCGTTACTCGATAACCGCAATAAGTCAATGTTGTACTTACCCGCAAGTGTTGTAATCAAATGCAAACCCTGAAGTACATTCCTTTATTTCACGGCATTGGCACGTGCAAGTCGCTGAATTCCATAGCTTTAAACTKTATTCGTCGTTGCACTTGTCGCGGTCCTCTTCATTGCTACACATACAACGGCATTCGTTGGGGTAATACGTTTGCAGAGGTGTACAATTCTGTAAACAAAATAAAACATTACATAATAATAATATGGTGTGTTAGACGACCGTTAAAAAAAAATAAAAATATATCAAATTAATGAATATCGCACTTCTTGTTTAACAACGCATCCACACTTGCATTTCAGGTGTTGATCTATTGACACTGTTTTCCGACCTTTGAATTCTAATTTCCCATCGTCATTATACTGCGAGACCATCACCTGAACGAAACAATATATCATGTAATATTATATGACGACAAATTAATTACATTTAAACCAAAAGATTTTTGAAAAAAAGTAATAGTTTTAGTTTCAATATTATATGCGTACTTCGAAGTTGAGGGTTTCGACTTTAGTAGGTTGGCATGCTAATAAGTCGTGTGCGCAACAACCTCCGCATCGGTTCACCCGAGTGCACGTCGGATAATAATACAAACTTTGATCGTCAGTATCTTTAAGGCTGATGGTTTGAGATTCGACAGAACAACCGGCTGGCTTAGGTGTCAACGTTGCTTCTAAATAAACAAATTGTTATCATTTATAATATTTTTTATTTCATCGAATTCTTATATTTTATTGTTTTATTTTATTTATATCAACTCGAATACATACTTCTTTCTACATTAAGCGCAGTTCGACCTAAAAAAAAAAAAAATTAAAAATTACACTATASTTGATTGGAAATAATTGWWTWATACAGTTATTTTATTCTTTGATAATATGCCTTTATCTATAAATATATGTTATATTATGATRGTACGTTATATTAATTGGAGCTGCCGTATTAGGTTTAAGCCCAATAATGATATCAAACTACAAACTTTTACAATCATTCATTCTTACACAGTAGTATTTRCTCAAAATTAACCAACACAATAATTTCGTATACTTTATGTATATGCATAATTTATTTTCACAAGGGACAGCTGGCTATTTAAATGAACCATCATAAT